TGTGAGGTGGAAAACATCCTTATTTTATGATGGGACAGTATGAGTTGAAAGCATTTCCTCAGTGACACACACACACACACACATACACACACACACTAAGTCAGAGATTTGATTTCATAATTCAGTATGAAGTATATTTGCTCATACTCCTTACTATTAAAAAGAGTAATACTTATGCCGATTATGTTGAATTTTTTGATTTTACTATTACATCTTACTTTCTCTTTTATTTTCTAACTTCCTAAACTGAATTACTCCTTACCTAATACAAAGTGACTCTGGGAACTGGCTACAGTGTTTACCCTGATGGGATTTCAGGCTCCTGGTGATGTATTGGGAAAATCCTGCCTCAATCGTTACTGCTAGAGGAGGCTTTATAGTTAGTTAGTCATTAGAAGATCGCCCAGGAGGAAAGGAAATAGATTGATGGGATTCTGTATTGCTCAGTACAGCACACTGCTGCTGTCTGTTCTTTACCGCTTCCTCTAAGAGTCATCATTTCCATGCACTAATCTTCTGAGCAGCCATTCAGTGGGAACTGGGCTAGAACTTTGCCAAGGGGTCACATCTACCAACCTGACAGTTATACCTTTAACAAAAGAACTAGCATGAATTTATTCAGCATCAAAACCTCTGCATCTTTTACCACCCAGCTGCATTTCACACCGTATTACCATCGCTGCGCTATAATGGCTCTATAAATTCATCCAGATTCTTCATTTAATTAACTAGCATTCTTTGAGCAAAAAGAAAAGTGCTGCTTTTTAAAATTTATTTATTTTTAAATCTTTATTGTTGAAAGCGTTACATATGTCCCCTCCCCCCCATTGACCCCTTATAGCCCTCCCCCACCCCAGGCCTCCACCACTCTATTGTCTGAGTCCATGGGTTATGCATATATGCATTCAAGTTCTTGGTTGATCTCTTCCCACCACCCCCCCCCACCCCCACCTTCCCTCTGAGATTCCACAGTCTGTTCTATGCTTCTGTCTCTGAATCTATTTTGTTCAACAGTTTATTTTGTTCATAATTTCCACATCTGAGTGAGGTCATGTGATACTTGTCTTTCTCTGTCTGGCTTGTTTCGCTTAGCATACAGTGCTGTTTTATAAAGGAATAAAAGCTGCATGAAGTGAATGTGGAGCCAGATCATCAAATTACTTACTCTTCACTGCAGCTTTGGAGAATGCTGTCCTCCTCTTTCTCTTCAGTGAAATATATATTTTTCTAACTTGATTGAATGGAAAATGAGGGACGATATAACCACCTCAAAGGTTTCTGAGTAGATTGCAATGGCCACATCCTAAGTTCATGTAGAATTGGGCACCGATGATGCTGTCATCTGCAAGTGATTTTTGGAGAGGTAGCGTGGCATAGTAGCTGAGAGCATGAACTTTGTAACTAGACTGCCTGGGTTCAGATCCTGGTTCAGCCACTTACTAGGTTTGTGATTCTGAGCAAGTCACTTAACTTTTCTGTGCTTCAATTTCCTGTACATTAAATGAAGATAATAATTGTTATACCTCACACAGCAGCATGCAGATTAACTGAGTTGATCCTTGTGAAACGTAGAGTAGTGCTAGCCATTGCCCTCAGCTATTACCGCCTGTACGCACGGCACAGTGTGACATGAAGTTAACTGAGCTGTGACACTGGTGACTCCTGATCACCTGGGCTGAACTAACTAGATGTGACCGACATAGCTAGGTAAACATCCTTTTCTTTCCCCAGACATTTCTTTTTAAAAGTACTCTTTTATTATAAGACAATTACTTTACAAAATAAGAAAATAAAGTTCTGTGAGTCAAGAATATAGTAGGCGGTATGTTGGCCACATCTCTCCATCCTGCACCCTGCTGCCATCTTTAGCTTCCAGAGCACTGTGTTCTCGTCTCACTTTCTGCTCAGAAGGTGTCAAGACTTCCCCTGATAGAAGTTCTTTGGAGAGCGCCAAGATGGTGGCTGAGTAGGTGGGTGTTACACTCACCTCCTCCCAGGACCAAACCAGAATTACAGCTAAAATATCGAGCAATCAACCTGAATAATCAACTGAAGATGAGCTGGAGAGATCTTCTAACCAAGGATTTATAGGAACCACATCGAGACTGGTAGGAAAAGGGCTGGCCCCCCTCCCACTGGTGGCAGCTGAGATTCCAGAGGGATATTGCATCTGCAGAGGCTCCCCCTTCGGGGCATGGAGTCTCAATCCCAAGCCAGGCTCCCTAGCCCAGAGCACTAGAGCCAGGAAAAGGCACTCACAAAACATCTGGCTGTGAAAATCAGAGATTCTGTCTACCAGGGAGAGACAGGAGTCTAAGAGACACAGGCGCCTTCTTAAAGGGCCAATGAGGGTAGAGTAGACTAGAGTTGTGTGAAGAGAGACCGGGGCTTGTGACTCTGGGGAGAGAGCTGAAGGAGCAGCCTCCAGGTTCCCTGAGCCCAGCTCCTCTCCCACACTGCAGATGCCATCTTTCTTGGGTGGAGCATTCCCTTCTCTGCAGCATCAGCCTGGTGGAAAGCAGTAGCCCCACCCACTGGACTCCCTGCGGAACTTGCACCTTGCTGAGGAGTCAGCTGCCTTGGCCAGGGTACAGAGATCTGGCAGACTCCGGGGGTGGGGGGGAGGGGGGAAGAGGGGTGTCAGTGTCTGAGTTTTGTGCATCATAGGGGTACCAGAAGGAGGAGAGAGAGAGCAAGGGATGGAGAACCTGTTTGAAGAAATAATGACTGAAAACTTCCCTAATCTGGTGAAGGAAAAAAACATGCAAGTTCAGCAAGTGTAGAGTCAAATCATGATGAACCCAAAGAGGCTCACACTGAGACGCACCATAATTAAAATTTCAAAGGTTAAAGACAAAGACAGAGTCTTAAAAGCAGCAAGAGAAAAACAAATGCTTATCTACAAGGGAGCTCCCATAAGACTGTCAGATGATTTCTCAACAGAAACACTACAGGCCAGAAGGGAATGGCATGAAGTATTTAAGGTGATGAAAAGGAGCTATAATCAAAACTACTTGACCCAGCAAGGCTATCATTTTAAATTAAAGGAGAAATAAAGAGCTTCCCAGACAAGAAAAAGCTAAATGAGTTTGTTAACCACCAAACCAGAATTATAGGAAACCAGAGGCCCAATGCATAAAATACGTGCAAGAGTAGACCTTCCTTCCTCCAGCTGCCGGCACTGGCTTCCCTCTGGCACCCAAGACCCGGGCTTCCCTCTGGCCACCAGCAGGCACCTGGGACCCAGGCTTCCCTCGCAGCCCCGGCTTTGTCTGGTCTAATTAGCATATTACGCTTTTATTATTATAGATGCTAAAGCACCTTCTTTTAGAAGAAGAAGAAAAACAAAAACAGAGGAGCATAGTTAAAAGAATAAAATGGCAATAAATACATACCTATCCGTAATCACTTTAAATGTAAATGAATTAAATGCTCCAATCAGAAGAAGAAAATAAGACCCATATATATGCTGTCTACAAGAGACCCACCTCAGATCAAAAGATGCACAGACTGAAAGTAAAGGGATGGGAAAAGGTATTTCATGCAAGGCATGATCCAGTCTCCGGGCCTTTGTACAAACTGTTCCCTCTGCCCAGAAAACTCCCCCTTGGGAAATCTTCATGGCTCCATTCTTCCTGCAGATCTCTCATCAGATGTCTTCTCAATGAGATCTTCACTGGTAATCTCTATTTACTATCTCCCCAAACTCGAGTGTAAATTCTGAGGGGCAGAAGAGAGGATTTTTTGTCTATTTTATTCAGTGCTCTATCCTCAGTACCTAAAACAGAACTTGACTTGAAGTAAGTACTTAATAGTTTTGAATGTATGAATGAAAATTTGATCCTTAAAAACATATCCATATTCCCAACCCTCCCCTCACTTCAGTCGTATTTAGACTCAAACAAAATCAGCATCTTGTAATATAATAGCTCCAAGAACATTAAAGTAGCCATGGCAATTGGAGCAGAAAAAATTCCATTGCAGAGGAAAGAGATTTCTGCGTCAAGTAAAGAAAAAGAAATCGTTTACAGTATAGGACCCGCCATGTTAAATTAGAATGGTGTCCTGGGGCGGACTGTCGTGGACCCAGCACCAAGGCATATTTTGAGAGAGTAAGTGGTTGGCCACCCCATCCTCTTCCTAGGTGGAGAATGGCTCGAATCCATAGTGTTGTTTGTTTTTGCTTTTAGTTTTTATCATCCAGTGGCAGAGTAAAATGGTGAACCGAGCATTAAGGTTGGAGTCAGGCAGACGGGGTTTAAATTCTGGCTTTCCTCTGTGTCCTTGGATTATATAACCACCTTGAGCCTCTGATTGATTATGTATAAAATGATTTTTTAAATAAGTTCTTTCTCCCAGTAGTTATAAAAGTCAAGTGAGAGAAGACCCATGAATCACCAGAGACATAACATGTTTAATAAATGTCTTGTGAGCATTGCATCCTATCAAAATAACTATATATTTTGCTACTGAATTCTACCTTTTGGCTTAAATCGAAAAAAGAAATGTAGCCGTTAGACTAGGAGTAGGTTTTGGCTCCTGGGGCATGAACCCCAATAAGCCCCACACACTATAAACCTCTCAGCAGTATCTGATGAAGCTCCAAGGACCTTCCCAGAATGAGCCTTACCACCGACTGGAGTTTTCTGGAAGCTTACCCTTGTTATCTTTTGAACCAGTTCTTAGTCTCCTACTTGTCATTTTCAGTTCTCCTCTGCTTTCCTTACTTTCAAAATGTTATGCTACGTGTTAGAGGTTGCGGATCCCATACTGAAAATCATCTCAGAAGCCAACAAAGGAAAAGCAAGATCAGGAGCTAATCTGCATCATAAAATAGCATGAATATTAATTTTCAAATTGAGATGCGGGGACCATGTGCATATTAAGTTTTAGAATTATAACTTCCAGAGAGATGAAGTATTTTGTTTTAAACCACTGAACTAATTTTGCATGTGTGTGTGTTATTTTTTTTTCAATGACATCCATGTTGAAACCCTTAGGAAGCCAAAGCGGTCATTGAAGAAACCAGAGCCCTGCGCAGTCGGATTCACCTGGCCGAAGCCGCGCAGAGGCAGGCGCGCAGCATGGAAACGGACTACGAAGAAGTGATCCGGCTGCTGGAGGCCGAGATCACGGAACTGAAGGCTCAGCTTGCTGATTATTCTGACCAAAATAAAGTAAGCAAAGCAGTCCCCTCTTCTGGTTACCATGGTTCCCTTGCCGTAGTCATGTATCCTGTTTTCATTTTCTTTTCGTCTGCACTTCTAAACTAGGTCAGTGTTTGTCTTCTGTTATTCAGCCACGGGGTGATGTGTCGTGATGGGGCAGCGTGAATGTTGTCAGCCTGCCCTTATTCAGATAGCTTCCTTTGTTCGGGTCGTTGGTCAACATTGTACATGCAGCTCAGGCATTAAATCCTGGAATTATTGAACATTTAATTGATTATATTGTTTTTATTCTTTTGTTTCAAAACTTGCTAATTTGTCTTGGGATGGGAGGAGAAAGTCTAGTGGTGGGTTTTGTTTTTTTGATTAAGGCACCAGAGGAAGTGTGAAAGTTAAGCAATTTTGCCTAAGACCCAAGATAGTTAACAGAAAAAACTGCGTTTGAATTTAGTAACCACTTTCCTGAATTTAGTGTTAACCATTTTCTTGATAATTTTACAGCCTATGTATGTATATATCCCTTAAAATTGCTGTTGTGTTTTGTCTGTTTATCAATTTTACATAAATAGGAAATACATTGTATTTGTTATTCTGCCTTGCTTTTTTCACTCAACATGTTTTTGCGATTCATCTGTTTAAAGATTATAGCAAGTTTGTCTTTTCATTGCTTTGCTTGTACACCATTGAATGGATATACAACAGTGTATTTATCCATTCTGTATTTGATGTACCGCCCAATTATTTCTGTTTTCTCCTATTATGAATAATGTTACCCAAAACATTCTTGTGTAGATATAGATACAGATATAGATATATAGATATGGATATAGATATAGATATCCTGCTCTTCATGTGTAACAGTTTCTCTTCCGTGCATAGCAGAATGGCTAGGTTGAATGATGAGTGTACAATCAACTTTACTAGGTGATGCCCAATTGTGTTTAAAAGCGTTTGAACCAGTTTTTACTCCCACCGGTTGAATGGAAATTACCGTTTACTCCACATCCCTGCTGACACTTTGTTTTCCTTTGCTTTTAATTTTTATCAGTCTGTCAGGTGTGATAATTAATCATAGTGGGTTAATTTGCATTTCCCTGGTTACTAATGACTTTAAGCTACTGATGTATGTGCTGGGATCAACTGGCACTGGCTCAGGAGAGTTGATTGTATACATCTCTTCTCAACTCCCTGGTTAGTGACATCAGGTTGGTGGCTTGAACACAGCCATGTCGGAGTTGTTTATACCCCCAAATGCTATAACCCAGGGCTTTGCCCACAGCCCTAGATAGCCAGTGGAGCATATGCTTATGTATTTATTAGGCTTTTGTGTTCTTATGTGAAATGGCTCTTCATATCTTCTAGCCATTTTTCCACTTAATTGTCTTTTTCATATTGACATGTAATGATATGTTCTGATCACTAGACCTATGATGTCTTATCCTATACTAGAGGCCCAGTGCACGAAAATTCATGCACTTGGGGGCGGGGGTCCCTCAGCCCTGCCTGCACCCTCTCGCAGTCTGGGAGCCCTTGGGGAATGTCCGACTGCCGGCTTAGGCCTGCTCCCCCAAGGGCTCCCAGACTGCAAAAGGCACAGGCTAGGCTGAGGGACCCTCTCTCTCCTCTTCCCCTACTCCCCAGTGCACAAATGTCGTGCACTGGGCCTCCAATCTACACTAATAAAAGAGAAACATGGTAATTAGGGTACGACCGCTACCCTTTCCATTGGCTAATCAGCATATCCTTATGCAAATTAACTGTCAGCCAAGATGGCGGCCGGCAGCCATGCACTGAAGTGAACAGGGAGGCTTGCTTGCTCCAGTGACTGCGGACTCCAACGTTCCCTGCCTGACTTGCCGGCCTCTCAGCTGCAACTCTAAGCAACTATGTTGCAAATATAGAAGCTAAAAAAAACCCCAGAAACCGGCTTTCAGTCAGCCGGGCTTCAGCCAGCCTGACCGCAACATTGTATCAATGTTTTCAGCAGCGAGGCCTCAGAGCTAAAGCTGGCCCAGAATAAAAAAAGAAAAAAGAAAAAAAGGAGCGGTTGGGAGCTTCAGTCACCCACCAGCCAGAAAACAGCCCTCAGCCCCTCAGCCAGCCTGGCCAGGCACCCCAGTGGGGAACCCCACCCTGATCCAGGACACCCTTCAGGGCAAACCAGCCAGCCCCTATCCGTGCACCAGGCCTCTATTCTACATAGTAAAAGGGTAATATGCCTCCCGGCACCGGGATCAGCATGACAGGGGGCAGCGCCCAAACCCTGATTGCCCTGCAGCTCTGTGTGTGACAGGGGAAGGCGCCCCAACCCCCTGATCAGCCCTGCTCTGTGCCTGATGGGGGGAGCTCCCCAATCCCCTGAGCGCCCTGCGGCTCTGTGTGTGACAGGGTGCGGCGCCCCAAGCCCCCCCCCCCACGGGCCCTCTCTGTGTGTGACAGGGTGCAGTGCCCCAACCCCCTGATCG